GATTCATGCCCTCCCTTGCATTCTGGCCAGGAGACTTCTCAGTGGGTTCAGATTGTTACGAAGTTCAGCTAGAGATTTCCTTCGCCCTATGGCCTTTTCTAAGTGCCTCTCGTAGCCCTCCTGAAGGTCCACTGCGAAGCAAGGCAGAAATTGACTCAGCAAGCCTACAGGGATTTTCCTGCTGCTTCATTTGGGCATTTTGCTCAGCTTTCTAAATTCAATGAGCTCCAAGTAAGGTCAGAATCTTCTCCTGTAGTCTAGACCTTCGGGTTCCCCAGTGGGGGTTTGTGTTCAGGGGCAGATGATCGCTCTTGTGTGGGATGATCTCCCTTTCCCGCCACAGTTTGGGCACTCGCAGTATTTGGGGTATCTCCTGGGTCCTGCAGGAGCAGTCCGCTTCCTTTGGAGGGTCTGTGGGTCCTCTGGGCTTTCGTAATGTATTCCTGCAGTCTTTCTGGAGCAAAAGTTCATGATGCGAGCCTCCACTCGCTGTTCTGCCTGTCCGAGTGGGAAGTGCAATTTAGCCCTGCCTCAAAAGTATGATTTTTTTTTGAAGTACTTTTTAAAGTTCTTGGGAGGGTGATTATATAGATTTTTTTTTTTTTTTTTTTTGGTGAACAGTCACATGGTTTTCAAAAATTTTACATAGACAAAATTTTGTATATGTTTTAGTTCCAAGTTGCTGGATTTTATGCCATTCCTAGAAGAATCTCCAACACTCTTACGTTTAAAAAATATAATCCCTATTTAAAACTTCTGTGAAACTTATTCTTAGACATTAAACATCTATGTATTTTAAAATGTTCAGTTCAATCTAATTTTTTGTTTGTTTTTTTGACTAAGAATTTTCATTGAAAATATATTTTGTACTTTGTAAAATGCCTTTTCAGTATCTATTAAGTGATAATATATAAATCAAATATGTATGTGTGTATATATACACATTACGTATTTGTGTGTACATATATACATTATATGTGTGTGTGTGTATATATATATTTTTTAAGAAACAGGGTTTTATTCTGCTACTCACGCTGGAGTGCAGTGGTGCTATCATAGCTCACTGCAGCCTCACACTGCGTTCAAGCCATCCTCCCTCCTCAGTCTCCCAAGTAGCTGGGACTACAGAAAAACCACCACGCCTGACTCCTAAATCATATATATTTTTCAAATATGTTTTCAACAGTTTAAGAGCTTACAAAATAGCTATGTAAAACAAGATTACTGAACAGTCTTGATAAGAAAAGACTTCTTGGATTACAAAAATGTTAGAAAAGAACTATTTTTTCTAAAGTCCTAAAAATATCTTTTTTCTCAAGCCCTTCTGCTCCAGGCTGGAAGTAAACTGAGCTGCTACAGTCTTTCTCTCGCAGCATTTGGAGAAGTAACATGGGTTAAGTGATGTAAACTGAGAAGACATTCTAATGAGAAGTAAAGGATCACATTCTGCCTCTTTTTTTTTTTTTTTTTTTTTGACAGCAGATTCTGTGAGCTCTTGTCTGTTTGCTTTCTGGGCAGGAAGGGAAACAGACCACTGCAGACATCTTAGTGCAGCAAAGTTCACCCTAGTTGCTTTACAGAAAGTCATTGTGTCATTTGATTGATATCCCTAAGGTACTATAAGATGAGGAATGAAAGCTACTACCTTTTCTTGCCATTATTACCACATCATGGTAAAGAGTGAAAAGAAACATAGGTTTGAATAATTGTATTTGCTTTGGTATGAAATTAGATAGGGTACAGAAGTATGTATCAGAGTAGTACATGCTCCAAAAATTAGTCATTGGCACACAAAGACATGACTGTCATCCTCTAGCTGGTGATATCCAGGCCTCATTTGTGCACATATGGGTGCATGGCAGAAAGCAAATCAATGTAGATTCTAACTGATATGCAACATTGTGATAAAATAGACCTTAGATTTATATATCCTGTTTAGCTCCATTCCTTCCAACAGGGGTGTGAATTTTGCTTCTGGATGACTGAAGTTAGAAATTTTTATTTTCCAGGTTTACACAGCCAGTTAGTGGTCATGTGGTAAGTAGAACACAGGGTTTCTACACCAGGGTCCCTTCATCTCCACACAGACTCCGGAGTGAATCTTCAAAGGCTGGAGGCTTCTCCCGACACATAACTCTTGTCTTCCAGTACAGCTAATGTCAAACGCCACTATTACAACCAATCTGTCTTCTTTTATGATCATTGGAGCAAGCTGGCTGAACAATCTGGAGAAGACTTGAATTCCCTAAAGCAGAGGTTGCTTCGGAGGGACGTTTCAAGGTGTCTCCTTCCTAGGGAGCACATTTTATAAGGCACCAAGATATTTCGTGCACGCCCTGAAGAAATCAGTTCCAGCTTCATCGGATTTCATTTCCCTAAATGCTGACTTTCACTGTAATGTCACTCGGCTGTGATTTCATACAGATTCCATACACAAGAGACAAAAAATAAGCAGACATGGGCTTGTAATAAACGTTAGATCTGGCAACAGAGTGAATTTTAGAACCATCTTCTGGGACATTAAAGGGAACGTATGTGGGGGGAATGACAAGATGATTTTATAGGTTTTTTTTTTTTTGCTGCTGTTGTTGTTGTCTTTGAGTTTATAAAAGATATCTCTTTTCTTTTAGGTGGTTCCAATATTGAGTGTGTTCTTTCTTTTGTCAATCAATTAAACAAGTCGACAAAGGAGAGTGATTGATATTCACAGATTTCTAGTTTTCAGCAACTCAAAAATATCCACCTGTTATCTTGTATTCTGAGTCAAAGAGCGACAAATTCTTTTTTGAAGTTAATGAATGGCATATTTTATCCACAGTCTACTAAACTAAGGTTAAGATCAAAAGAGCTCTCTTATTCTCATGATAGTGACTGAAAAAATAAGTCCCGATTTTTCAATTATTCATCTCCACCTCCACCATTCTATTATCTATCCCACTAGTGATTGAAATTGTCTCCTAGCAGGCTGTCCAGGGTGGGACACAGGAATACACACACACACACACACACACAGGTATGTATGTGTCGGTGTGCCATGACTGTGTATCCAAACATAAGATTATTTTAATGATATTAACAATGTGTAGCACACAATTTATGAATAATGACAAAATATGCAATAATCTATTATTGTCAGTTCTGTACAACCGGCTGAGTTTTATAGAATGCTTTTGCTGACTTTTGTTGAATGATTTTATCTGTAGCACATAAAGTCTCTGTCATATATTCTTTTTGAAAGATTTCTTTATTTCCTTTACAACCCTTTAAAAATGTAAAAATTAGTCTTGACTCACGCATCACAAAAAAATAGGCCTCAAGCCAGACAAGCCAGGTAGTTTTCGGACCCCTGGTTTAGACAATCCTCAAAACAATAAAGCAGTCCCTGATTTGTAATGTATGTCAACCTCTGTGGTATAAGTATTTCCACTATGGTAGACTTCAAGCTGTCAAAGGGATTTCACTGAACATGGAATTGGGGAGAGCTGTGTGGTCGCAGCCCAACATACAGTATCCCCACAACACAGATAGAATAGTCATGCAATTCCTCCAGAGCACCTTTGGTTAAAAGAGACAGCAAATCAATATAATATAGTGAAATAATTAGAAATCAATGAGTTTATTAGCTTTTAAAACTAATTTCACGTTTATATAACTTAATTATTAGTAGTAGTATTTTTAAGACGGAGTCTCGCTCTGTCTCCCGGGCTGGAGTGCAGTGGCACAATCTAGGTTCACTGCAAGCTCCGCCTCCTGGTTTCAAGCGATTCTCCTGACTCAGTCACCCAAGTATGAGAGACTACAGGCACCCACCACCACGCCTGGCAAATTTTTTGTGTTTTTGGTAAGGACGGGGTTTTATCATGTTAACCAGGATGGTCTCTATCTCCCAACCTCATGATCTGCTGGTCTCAGCTTCCCAAAGGGCTGAGATTACAGGCGTGAACCACCACGCCCAGCCAACTTAATTTTTAATAATGGCTAGGTTAACCAAGAGCTCACAAAAATTTCTGAAAATCTACAACTTGAAACTCATAAACTGGTAAGAAGCTGACTCAAACACACCACTGATGGCCCATTCTTTTGAATTCCATAAATACTGGACTGTTTGACATTTTTTAAACCACGCTCTGTCATGCCTCCCCAATCTTTTCACCCTATTCTTTCAAGACTTAGCAGCTTCTCCTGCTAGAAAACTTCTGCTATTTTTCAAGGTTGAATTAAATGTCCCGTTTCCTATATAAATATAAAATTTCTATATTCCAAACCTTCAGTGACAGGGGCTTCATCCACTGTAGCCTTTACCTCCTTGTTCTGCAAGGGCTTATCTCAGTTTCTCCAACTCAGAGACTGAATATTTATGGCCCAGCAGAGCCTGGTGTACAGCAGGGGCACAATACGCATTCCTTGAACTGAACTACTAGCAAAAATGGCAAACTCTTGGCTGCCAGTTTGCAGAGCTTTGTGCAACTTTCTTTGTATTGTAGAATTGGTGCATTTCACCGTACCTCTTCTACAAGACAGCAGGGAAGAAACAGCTCACCATGGTATTATTCAAAAGTTTGCATCGGAAGAGTGAAAGTCAAAGGGTAGTGTCTTGACTGCAGGTTTTAGATTCCATGGGTTTTGTTTATAATTTAAATATCTTTCATCACCACAGATAACTGAAGTCTTTTTTTTTGAGGAGGTACATAACCAAGGGACTAGGCAGTGGCACAGAAAGGTTACAAGCAGAAAAAAAAATAAAAATAAAAAATGAGGAGACCTGCTGACTTTAAAATGCACACACCTGCTATCTTGTGGTTTAACCCTCACTCCCTCACTGGTCAGATTCTCTGGCTGCACGCCTTTCCTTGTAGACTATCTGGCATAGATGGAGGAGGTAAGTCCCAGGGTAAGACTCCTCAGTGCCCCACCACTTCTCTCAGTTGCTCTGCTCACTGATTTTCTTGCTGCGTTCATTGAAGCAAGGGGCCTGGGAGGTGCAGGGAGGATCAACTCACCTCATAGTCAATGTCTAAGGCATCCGTCTCGCCCTTGGTGCGGAAGTGCTGTGTGTGCTTGTCCACCGTGAAGTTCACCTGCTTGCCCACCCGCTCGATGAGGACCGAGTGCCAGTGCTGGTCATCCAGGAGGCTGCCCAGGGTGGCAGAGGGCAGGCTGCTGCTGAGCCGCGCTTTGCTGTCATCTGTGAAGAGGGGAGGAAGGCAGGATGATGTCTGTGTCCAAGGGCAGCTTTGCACACCAGAATGCTCCACAAGCAAAGGCAGCTATCTCTGTTCTAAAGGCAAAGAATGATGTCTCCCTACGGACCAGGAACTGTGCTGGACCTGGGAAGTAATAACAGGCTTTGCCCACAGATTCCAGAATCAAATTCAATATGCATACCTCCTTTCCAGACAAAATAGGGCATGTTTTCAAGACTTGAAAAAATAAATAATAAAAGGAACTATGTCCTTATGGCTACATAAATATGATGGAAAATGGGGATTTTGTTTTTAGAAAGAATGAATATTCTTTGAGTTTGAATGGTTCTTGAGTGGAGAAAGCCAATTAGGAGCTGTGCCTAGGAGGAGGAGTAAAGCTGGGATACGTAAAGGGAAGACAGCTAGTAAGTTTCTGGGCAAAAGCAGCGGCAAGGAAGTAATCATCCCATATGCCATGGCTGAGTACCTACTGTATGCACGGCACTTAGGAAGAAATAGCCTTCATCTTTAATCCTCTAAGGGAAAATTATCATCTCCATTTGACAAATAGGAACCTTGAGGCTCAGGGAGATGAGGCATGCATGCCTCAGGTACAGTCAGGACTTGAATGGAGGTCTGCCTCATCCTTTTTACTTTGACCACAGCTATGGATCATGGCTCAAGTCATACTGTTGATGATTGAGCTTCTGTTGAGTTTGCAAGACCCCCTTGAGAAGACATGAGAGATACAGCTGGAAAGGCATGCTTTGCAATCCAACTGCCTGGTTCTCCCTCCCCCTCCTTCTCTCTCACTTTTATGGAAGTCCCTGGCCATACCCTTCTACCAAAAAGATTACAGCTTCTATCTTCCCCCGCGGAAATTGCTTCAACCTTAGCAAAATGAACAATTAAATAGAACTAACGTTTGTGTATATAGACATTTTCAATTTTTGCAACATTTTATATATTAAGTCCCTTAGTAACTGAAAGCTAAATGTCTCTCTCCTCCCTCTTGGGAAGTGTTTTCTCCAGTACAGCTGCAGCAGCCTGTTCAACGGTGTGATGTTCAGCAGGCAGGAGCCGCCACTTCCCCGAAGGCTGCTCACTCCCACCTCCAAAACCGCCCAAAGCACCATTCCCTTCACTGAGTAACTTGGATGCTTCCTATAGGGCTGGGGGCATCAAACTCATTGTAATTAGAAAAGTGAAGCTGGTGAATTAATAGCTGACTTGGTTTCATGGGTTTATTCACTGTTTGTTGCACAGCTTCTTAGTTTTCATTCTTTGATGGATTACGCTGATGAATTAAAAGATGTTTTCATTTTTTCTCCCTCCCTTTCTTCCTCCTATGGAAAGGTATTGTGAGTCAGGTGTGGTGGCTCACACCTGTAATCCCACCACTTTGGGAGGCCAAGGCAGGCAGATCACTTGAGGTCAGGAGTTTGAGACCAGCCTGGTCAATGTGGTGAAATCTCATCTCTACTAAAAAAAACAAACAAAACAAAACAAAACAAAAATTAGCCAGGCAAGGTGACAGGTGCCTGTAATCCCAGCTACTTAGGAGGCTCAGGCAGGAGAATCACTTGAACCTGTGAGGTGGAGGTTGCAGTGAGCTGAGATCACACCATTGCACTCCAGCCTGGGCCAGGCCACAAGAGCAAAACTCCATCTAAAAAAGAAAAGAAAGGTATTGTGATCTACCTGAGCTGGGCACAGTGACAGGTAATGTATCAAGGAGACACGGAGTTTAAAGGTATACTGTCCTCTCTGAAGGTCTTAGTGTAGAGATGCTAATCAAATAAATCTATAAAACATATGCAGGTTTCCAGCACTTAGTGCACAGAGCCATGGAAATGCAGAGTGTGGTGCTATGAAACCCCCCTTATGCAGCAGAGACAGGTTGAAACATGAGGGAAGGAGGAGCATGGTTGCAAGGCCAGGAGAAGCAGCAGCCAGGGTTAGAAATGTAGGGGAGCATGGCCCAAGACTTCCAGCGGCTGAGTGCCAGGAGCTCGTCAGCCTGGATCCCATTATCCAGGACTTTGTATGCTAGGTTACACGGTTTACCTCTTTTTTAAGAAATGGAACGTTGAGTAGGCAGAGGTTACTAATGCAGATTACTGTGTTTTTTTGTTTGTTTGGTTGGTTGGTGGGTATTTTTGTTGTTGTTGTTGTTGTTTTTGAGATGCAGTCTCCCTGTGTCATCCAGGCTGGAGCGAGTACAATGGCACGATCTGGGCTCACTGCAACCCTTGCCTCCCAGGTTCAAGTGATTCTCTTGCCTCAGCCTCCAGAGTAGCTGGGATTACAGGCGGGGGCCACCACACGAGGCACATTTTTTATGTTTTTGGTGGAAACGGGTTTTCACCATGTTGACCAGGCTCGTCTCCAACTCCTGACCTCAAGTGATCCGCCGCCCCTGCCTCCCAAAGTGGTGGGATTATAGGTGTGAGCCACCATGCCCGGCCAGCAGATTACTTTTAAGAAAGGTTATTTTGGCAGCTGTGTGGGAATTGGATTAGAAGGTAAGACTGGCTATAAGATTGGCCATAATCTGGATAGATGGGGCATAACAAGGCTCAGGCGAGAAGAGTACAGGAAGAATAGGATCCAAGTAATGATGAGGCGTGGCAGGAGGTGGCCTCCAGCTGATGGAGATAGAATAAAGAACACCACCACCGCCACCCCACACACAGTTTTTATTTGTAAGATGAAATGATTCAGGAGCTAACATTGGCTGAAGGAAACTTTATGCTTTATAAACTGTCAGTTCTAGATGTAACAAGGCAGGTAGATTTAATATTGGAGTTTTCACTTTGAAATTGAGCTACATCTCATTTTTTTCTTAAAATAAGAAAGGCATTAAACAATAATTTATTAATAAGTCCAAATTCTAAACATTTGAAAATTTAAACTCATTATACATCACACACACACAAACACACACACACAAAACCACCACCACCAACAACCACAAAAAACAGGGCAAGGAATTACACCGTTTCTCCAACTTGTTTGTTCTATGTGCTGTTTGTGTCTTTAATGATCTCATGAGTTCTTTAATAGAGCCAATAATAATAATGATTAAAATAAAATATTTTAATATTTTCCACACAATCCTGCTTCACAAGATAAATTTTATCAATATTATGAATCAGTCAAACTGATTTTATTTTTTATGTAACTTTGGGTATAGTAACACACCCGCCCTCCCTCCCTTCCTCACTTCCTCCATCTGCTCATCTTCCATAGCCCCAGGTAATCACTGCTGTTAACATCTTGCTCGTGCTTCCAGAAAAATATTAGGTGTATGCAAGCAGCAAACATAGATTTTCTTTATTTCTACTCATTTAATTTTTTACCCTGATGGTAAAATACAATGTGCATTTATCTCCAGCTTTCTATTTTTATTTAATCTATCCTGAAAATCTTTATCAAAATATAAAGAGCTTTCCCATCCTTTTTATAACTGCATAGTATTCCATGCTCTAATACGTATACATATAATATATATGATCTATATACATGTAATATGATACATAATTATATATGATCATATATATGATATATAGAACATATCATATTTCACTAATGAGCTCTTAGTGATACAAATTTAGATGTTTCTACTTACTTTAGATCTCTAAAACTGTTGAAATACTTTATTATGTGGACAATATCTTGCTTGGGCACAAGCATATTTGTAGCATTCATTCTTAGATGAAGAATTGGAGGACAAAGGCTTTCACATTGGCAATTTTGACAAATGCTGCCAAAATGTCCTATATAAAGACCGTGCCTATTTAAATGCCTAGGAGTGCCTTTACCACAGGCTTGTCAACAACAGATGGTCTAGCGTTAAATTTTTGCCTGCCTGGTAGGTTAAAAAAGTGTATTTCTGAGTAATTTTAATATGCATTTATTTTAATAAGAATGAGGTGGAAAATCTTTTTAGTTTTATTTCCTTTTCTTTGAACTGTCTCTTCCTATATTTTGCCTGTGATATGAATTTTGAAAATATCTTTTTGCCTTTCTTTATTTGTTTTTTGATGTTGTTTTTCTGTTTTTGTTTGTTTGATTGATTTTTTAAATTCACTACTCAGGTATTTGTGCATTGGGAACAAATCCATCATTTTTCTTATTAATTCTGGATTTGTATCATAGTTTAAATGGTTCTCCTTATTCTGAGATCACTGACGAATTCTTCTAGTTTTCTCTACTTCCTTTCCACTGAAATTTTTGCTGAGGTACTGTATGAGACACAGTTCTACCTTTATGTTTTGAGATGGCTACCAAATTGTCTCAGTTCCACTATTTTAAAATCCTTGAGTGGTCTTAGTTAGTGAAATAGATTGTATAACTTTCAAATGGCAGGAGAACACTAGTAAATTGGATAGGGTGGTATTTGTTATGTTGACTGGATCAAGGCAATCTAAGTACATGATTTGGATCTTCAAATCCTAAAGCTTCCAGTAGTAGGTTATGTTGGTTGTTGCTCACTGTACCCTTCTTGCATCCACTGACACCATCATCACCACCATCTCAATGGACAGGAACATCTCCGTGGTGTAGAAGAGTGGGAAGCAGAGCCAGCATCAGTAACCTTACCTTTACCCTCTTCAAGGTTTAATGTCAGTCCTTTCTCTCCTGGGTCTTAACTTTGGCTCAGAAAGTTTGCTACTCTCATTGCATCCAACAATTCTGTTTCTTATAATTTTAAGACTTTAGGAAAATAAAAGTACTTCTTCTTAAATAAATAGTGACTACCTTTCATTTACTGCATCTAATGAAACCACAAACTTAATTAACACACTTATCATTTTATGCAAAGTAGCTCATGAAATTTTTATGAATACTTAGAGCAATTTGTTGACCTTTTCTCAAAAGTGGATTAGCATTGCTCCTTGTTTACATTTTTCATTTACTTTGTGCATATATATATATATGCCCAAAGATACATATATATATATATATGCCCTTGTTTACATTGTTCATTTACTTAGTG